CCAAATTTGGAATGAGTATTAGTTTTTATACATTCTCCACCATCCCAATGATTCGGTCCAGGTGTATTTAAGCAGAGACACACCTAAAACCAGCAGGACAACACCCTTAAGGACTGGCAGACGGACCTAAATGCTTCCAAAATGGAAAAATTTTGATAAACAAATATCTGAAGTATGTTTTTTTGTTAACAGAAAGGCTTGTAAAATGTTTCTTTCTGTTCAACTTGTGTGCCCTTTGTAGCAGCAAGCTTCTCTAAATCTCATCTAGTATTTCTTCAGGATTATTTCATTATGTTTGAACAGAGAGTACAGGGTTGCATTTATTATTTTTTGCATTATTGTTACAGGATTTCCTTGAAAAAAAAAAAAATAAAAAAATCCCTTTCTTTGTATTAAGAACATTTTATCACAGTTTGCCTCGGATGCTGACTGATACCCCACATGACCACAACTTAATAAATAATCATTTCCATTAACAGGAAATGGTATTTTGTTTTAAAACTCTTTTCTCTTAAAATCACCACAGAGACAGATTCTCTATACAACAGTCAGTCTATATCTCAGTTTTTATAGTGACATAAAGAAAATCTTTGGTTTATTGCATTTCAGGCAGTGACTGTGATGTCACCCATACAAAGATGGGGCTCTTGAGAAAATATATTTCTTACCTCCTCATGTCGACGGTGGTCAGGGTGAAATTAACCCCCTTCAGCCAAAGAATCATAAAGAGCCTTTGACAGAATGGGCAGTTTCCAACACTTTCAGCATCATCACTGGCCTGATGAAGACAAAGCACACCGTGAGGGGAAATCGTATAGATGTGAAAGCGTAAGCTAAAATGGAATGTTGGCTGATTTTCTTTGAAAAGCTGCCACCTGTTTGATCTATAATGTGACTAAACCGTCTGTAATTTGACTAAACAGAGATACCTGTACAGGTAACCTAATGAAGCCTGATCTGTTTTGAGGTTTTACAACAGCTCTAAAAACAAATTAAAAATGGAAGTAAAGGACTCTAGATAATCGATATTTAACAAATTTTTTTTGTTTTGTATCTTTCCTCTTATCTATGCTGTATCATATTGTGATATTATCTCAATCAACCAACTAACCGTCAGGAAACTGTCAGTTACAAATGGGGTAAAAAAAAAAAATCAAACTTTCTATGACCAACGTTCAACAGAGCTAGTTGTATTATTTCAACTTGTGTCGGTAAAAGACGCGTTCTCATGATCTTACCTTAACAAAGAGCTCAATCTTTGGAGCCTCAGCCATTTTCCTTTCTCTTTGCCTGGTATCCCTGTTGCTTTCTCACGATGTCTTGTTGCTGTTCATGCAAAGATAAGGAAAAACTGTGATTGTAAAGATGTGGTAATCCTTCAGTTGACACATACTTTAAAACGTATTCTTACGGTTCTGGAAAAACTGGTAACAAGGTGCGTTCCTACAGTAGATGGGTAATTAAAGGCTGTAAAGGGTACAAGTCATAGCTTTAAACTCACTCTACCTGAATTATTTTATCCCACTTCTTCTCCTCCCTGCAGCCTACACTGCACCTGTTCCTATTATTACTATATTTTTGTTCTTCTCTAACCACACCTCTTAAGCTTGAAGTGACAGTCTACGCCCCCACTGGCTTTACCAGTTGGACCAGCAGATCAGGATCTATTGACTCTGCCTTCCAGCACATTCTCTGGAGGAAATTGGGCCCTTTTAGCCTTGAAACATTTTCTTTTTCTTTTTAATTACAGATTCACTTTGGTAACTTACATGGAATCACAGTTAATCAGTCTGTTGCAACTATAAGTCTGCTAATAGGTAATGTGATTCTCTCAGTAAAACAGAGTATGACCGGTGATGTTTATTTTACTCAAGATGTAGTCAGTACCGTACTTGCACTCATTGATGCCAGTGCTGTTTCTCGACAGATCAGTGAACACAAATGCAACAATTGCCTTTGGAAGATTGTTCCAATCAAAAGGTGCTTTACATTTAAGTGACAATTTTCCAAATTCCGTATTGATTCTCAAAACAAAAACATTTGAGTTGCATGTCTAAGACTACATAAGGAACTAAATTAAATCAGGTATTCTTTTAATAATCAGGATAACTAAGATAAATATATTTAAATGAAAATAATAAGGGAGTTTGTTTTCTGGAGGATGAAGAGAGCCCAGACAGACAAAACAACATTAGGGGGTTGGAGATTAATAGATAAGGTATGTTTGATTAACTGTATCACAGTTGTCAAAACTAGGAAATAAAAATGGTGTTACAATCCTTTCTCTCAAAGAGAAAGTAAAACAATTAAGCTTGTTAAATGCGTTTAAATGCATTTATTTCTGTCATACACCAAATAAAATGTTTTAAGTGGGGGTAAAGGATAGTGTTCAAAATTGTAAATCAAGCTCAAATTACCCATTTTTTAAATTACCTTTATTCTTTTATTATTCTTTTAGTCGGCTTTGCCAGCCTTTCCTCCTCCTGCTGATGAGAAACACATAAATGACTTGATGTCTTCACCACCATTTTAAAGGGTAATGTGCTATGTATAATGTTTCACATGTAGGCCAAATCTTGGTCTAATCTGAGCAAAGTGGACTTGATTTGACTTTCTTTCAACAACAGCAATCTTGGAAAAGTAGGAAATTCGGGTTTGGTCACAGACAAAAAGGGTCTGGCAGGTTTTTCAAGGGTGCAGCCAGGATAATCCACTCTGCAGCTCAACTCCTGCATGCATTTTTTCTTATGTCTAGGCACCACTTTAAGAACAAAAATAAGTTGCATGAGATTTATTGCCAAGCAGGATTGCGACAAAACATAGCTTTTGGTTGTGACATGGTGTGAAATAAATGAGGAATGTACAAAAGGTATAAATACATTTAGAAGTCAAATGACTGCGAATGACTGCCAAAAAATACAGCTCAGTTGTTTGCACATGTTTTTGTGAACAAAAAATAACAGTTTTATTCAAACAATTTAAATGAATCTCAGTTTTTTCTTTCTCACTTTTTAATTTAGTATGGTTTAGTTAACTTCTTTGTTCAATGTGTTGATACTGTATTTAGTCCATTTAATTGATCATTTAAATTCTGTTCAAACTTTCAAGACTGCCTGAGCACATGTTTGGGGCTATCACTTGAAGCAGAGTTTTTTTTTTGGGAGATGGAAAAGAAGGAAAAAACAAAAAAAAGCCAGAGCAACTCAATAAGAAGCAAGAATGCAAGTTTAGGGTGAGTAGAACATCCTTAAAAGGTGTAAACATACTACTCAGACAACTGTCATCAGTGAAGAGGGTGTGTGTTTGTGTGGTTGTCACTGATCAGTGACTTTGAGCTCAGGAATTCACACGTTGAAGCAGCAAACTGGCTTATTTAGAATAAATATATCACACGTTTCAGGCCTTTTAGCAGGGGGGTAATCCCCAAATAAAGCACTGCTACAAAACTTCCTGCTTTCGGTTCTTGATGAAGAAAGCACAACACATCTCAAAGGGGAAAAAACAACCACAGTGTTAAAAAAAAAAAAAAAACTCAATGCCCTTAAAGGACCTAGTTTATCTCTAGTATGGACAACTGTGTGTTGAAGATTATTTTACTGAAAGAGGTTCCGATGACTTTAGGTAGAACAGGTGTATTAAGATACAGACATATTCTAACTAATTCTCTAAGTTAGAAATGTTTTCCTTTAGCTTGTAAGAAAAAACAAAACACAAGAGCCTTGTAATTGTCATATTATGCAGAGAGTACCCTGATAAAGTATTCATGCTCTTTGTTCTTTCTTACTTTTCTATCACATTAAAACTGTAACTATCATTTACCCTTTAATTCAATGGGATCAACCTGGATAAAGGAGTTCACAGTTGAGAGTTGCAAAGAAAATGAGGACGGTTTTTGAACTTAAGACTTAAAAAACTGAAAATCTGAATCACTGAAAGAATATGGATTCACCCACTTATAATTTAATGCCCCTAAATAAAATCCAGTGCAAGAAAGTATACTTAGAGGACACCTGCTTCATGACCATAGTCCACCTGTATGCATTTTAATCTTATTAACATGTTTGATTTCTATGCAGGCCTCAGTAGGAGAGCTGTGTTAAAAGAAAGACATTACAAGTCTAGCTTAAAACTACACGCAGCCATGTGGAGGACACCATAGATTAATTAACAATTAATACTTTGTATTAAGACTAATACAAAGATTATAGTAGGACATCAATTGTAAAAACACAGTTAAGATACAGTTAAGAAAATTGTTTAGATTAGAATCTATGGCAAGACATGAAATGTATCTCCACAGAAGATCTCTATTCTTTCTAATTTTGGTTAAGCTGTATTGCATAGAGAAATGGGCAAAAGCTGAAGCTGGTATCCATTATTGTAGATGGAGGTGGTTCTTATAAGTGATGATTTGTCAGTTTAATCTGAAAACTATCCATCCATCTTCTCCCACTTAATTCCGTCAGGGTCATGGTGGGGCTGGTGCCTTTCTCCAGCAGTCTATGGTCGAGACGCAGGGTACAACCCAGAAAGGTTGCCGGTCTGACGCAGGGCAACACAGAGACACACAAAGACATACAACCATACACACACACATACATGCATCATACTTGTTCTGCCATTGTAGTGAGGACCACATGTTGACTCCCATTGATTTTCAGTCATTTCCATTTTTTTATGCCCTAACCCTAAAACTAACCATAAACCTAACCATTACCAATGCATACCTCACCCTAACCCTAACCAATTGACACCTTAGCCCTAAACCTTACCATTAGCAAAATAGCATGTGAGGACCTTCAAAATGTCCTCACTTTGCAACAACTGGTCCTCAATTTGATTGTGAAATTGGAAAAATGGTCCTCACTCTGAGGTACACCCAGACCTATGAAAAATTTAGAGATGCCGCTAACCTTACAGTTTTTGTACCGTGGGAGGAAGCCTGAGTACCCAGAAAGAACCCACGTGTGCACAGGGATAACATGCAAACTCATGCAAAAAGACCCCGGGCCAGGGATCAAAGCCTGAACATTCTTGCTGCAAAGAAACAGTGCAACAAACTGCTCCACCGTGCAGCCCCATCTGAAAAGAATGTTCCCTTTTAAAGCTGCTTCACACAGTTCTGTTGTTTAGTTTTGGCAATAGCCTCTTTCATGACATACCATGGATACAACAGATGAGTTATGTGACAGCAGCAGATGGAGATTTCCATTTTCTAAGTATGATCTTAAATAAAACAGAAAGGGTTTAAGACATAGAATTGTTTTAAGGGGCAATGAGAAAGCAATTCAAATAATTTATTTACTTCAATATCACAGAAAAATGTCATCATGGACAAATAAAAGAGTCAAGCTTAGAGAGCAGACGAGGACAAAAATATGGAACAATTCTTTAGCACTACACGTGGCTACTTCAGTTGCAAAACTACAGAAAAGGGTTGTGCTTCCTGCGTCAACAGATGGTGTAATCCTGCATATGTAACTGAGAAGGAATTTCCTTGCACCTCACGCGGTGGACTGTTTCACTGTTGGCCATGCTGTTTACCTGTGAGAAGTCACATTTAAGATGCTAACATTTGACATCATGATCACATGCTTCAGACACAACACCCCAATGCTTTCGTTGTGACATGCTGCAGATAAATATTGTTTACCTGTTTTTCTGAGGACTCTTCGTAGCAAAAAAATATTTTTCTATCCAATTCATTTTGATGAACTAGATAGTTTCTGACCATCATCTAAGTTAGCAACCAAGGGGCCACATCAATGTGAAGAAATATTCCATACCAGTTATTCAGCTAAAAGTTATATGGATTTATGCAAAAGAATGATTCGTGTTTTTCATATGCATATGATTTTACTGCACAATAAAGCAGTTTTGAAAACAGACACCCGCACTTGAACTGACTATACTTTTATGCAGTTGAAGAATATTCATTAGTCACTTTTGACCGGTGAATTTTTCTAACTGGGCTGCTTAGTGACACAGTTGGTAGCACTGCTGCCATGCATTAATAGGTTTCCACATTCAATTCCAGGCTCAGAGTCTTTCTGCATGGAGTTTGCATGTTCTCCCTGTTTGTGTTTTATAATTTCATTCAATACAACAAAACCTAAAACATTAATATTGTGATGGAATTTAAACTTAAAGCACCGAACATCGTACAGCAGAGTAGTCACATGTTACATTTGCACTACTGTAGGCTAAAAATGTAATTATGAATGCTTATATATGTAAGCCAACGTAGTCCTGGCATTTATAGTGGGCTGATACACTTAGAGCCCATGTTGCCATACAAGGCTTATATAAGACTTTTACATCTTTGCGGCTCAGGACAGATATGTTTTTTTTTGCCCATTATGGCTCTTTAAATAGTTTGGTTTGCCGACAACTGCCATAAGAAAATTGAATAGCTGTAGGTAGTAAGGACCTTTTGTAGTGGTTGGTCTTATGCGGACTTGGAGAAGTCTTTCACTGAAGACACCCCCAGTAATACTGTTATCTGATAAAGAGGATGTTCACCATTTTCCAAAATGTTAATTTTATGAAGAAGCTTTCT